GCCAGCATAGCTGGCTGGGGAATTCTGGGAGTTGAAGTCCACACATCTTAAAGTTCCCGTGGTTGAGGAACCATAGAGGGAAAGAGTAATAATTTTCGCTGGTAAAGAAACATCGACAATATTATAAGGCTGTTCTGTGCCAGAAGGCAGAGTCTGGAAATTTAGAAAGAAAAACAAATAAGCACAGCTGTATGAAAAAAATGAGTCATCCTTTCATATCTTAACCTACACTGGGAACAAAGGATTGTGGGCTTTGCCATCAAGATTAAGGCTACTTAGAAGCAGCTGTTTGGTTCCTTGAAATAAGCATGTGAGATTCACTTCCCTGCCACTCTAATTAGACCATCTCAGTTCTGTTACTCTTTTTCTCAAACTCTGGGCTTCCAATTTTAATCTTTTCCCTTCTCTGATTTCACCCTTCATTTACGGGCTTCCCACCAGTAGATCTGAAGCCAACTGAAAAATTCAAGGATGAGGCCCCCCCCCAATATTTGAGGAGACTTATCTGGTCCTTTGAGGATTGGGAGGGCACAAAGAAAACAGAGGGCTTAGTTCTCCCCAGCAGATGCCATCGAGGTGCCCACAATCAGGGCTTGAAGACCACAGCATCTCCTGTGTAGTAGCAGAATTTGCCCAAGACACCAGGCTAGGCTAAAATAGGGTGTGGCTGGGGAATTCTGGGAGTTGAAGTCCAGACGTCTTAAAGTTGCCAAGGTTGAGAAACAGTGATCTAGGTTGTCTAGCAAGTTCCCCAGTCATTCACAGCAAACAGAGCCCAGGGCTTTGACCCTGATGAGGCCAAACAGGATCACTCTGCAGTGATGCACAGATAAGAAACACAAATGTTACTCAGTGCAGCACAGCTCTGAACATCCAAAGAAGAGGACCCCAAGAGAGGCTGCCCATATATTGCCTTCTCTTCTCTGCATCGCTCCATCTCTCCTTGGGGTCATTTTTGAGAGTAAGGATGGAGAAGCCAGAAAGCCAGGCAGATAATGGCAGAGTTCCCTCAACATCCCTTCTGTTTATTAAATTTTCTGGGATTGCACCATGGAAGGAATCATTAACTAACCCAAGAGGCTAAGTTGGCAGAAAACACTGAGCCACAAAGAGCAAAGCTGGAACCCACCAGACTTGTTGCATGGTGGCAATGTGGTTGCTCAGTCTTTAACAGCTCTGATCACACATGTGGTGGGAACAAGGCTGGAGGGTTGAGTCCTTCTATTAGACAGACATGGTTCTCAGGTCCCCCTTTGGGTCCAACTCAAGGTACCTGCTGGCTCCAAAATGAGATCCTTTGGATATAATATTGCAACCATATCCTGCTTTTTCTTTCCAGATTTCAGAGCTTTGGGGCTTCCCTAGCCATGAGGTTCATTGGATTTTTCAGGGCATTAGCAGTAGCCCTTGGTAATGGGCCAACATCCCCATCATTGTGAAGATCATCTTCAAAAGTGTTTGGAGAATCTCTGGATGGCCAGCTTGGCTTGTTCCCCAATCCCACCAGCCCAGAATTTGCCCAGATGTGTGTGGCTGTGTGGAGAATAATAGATGGTTGGTGAATTCTGACTTGGCAACATCTCCCTTTGTACTAAGAAAGAGAGTTGGCTTGGGGGATAGTTCTAATTTTCCTAAGAAGAAAAGTGGGATTTCTGGACTCCGTGGGATTTCCCACTAGGGAAGTCACTTCAAGAGGGTCTTGGCTCTGTAGTCTGTGTCGGAATGCCCACTTTTCCTGTTTCTCAGATGGGACTGCTCAAAACTCTCTTACTCTTCATGGAGATATACCCAGTGTTTCTCAACCTCAGCAACTTTAAGATGTGTGGACTTCAACTC